CCCTGCACACATCTATCTCACTTCATGACGGAATGATGGAGGAACATAAACTTCATTGTATCAGGAGGACTACAAGACCCAGCAGGAGCTCCACATGTCCCAACAAAGAGTGCATTTCATCATAAGAGTCCAATATATCTGGAGAGTCGGTGGGCACGCAGAAGGGGGGGCACGCAGGAAGGGGGGCACGTAGGAAGGAAGCACGCGGGAGGGGAGCTCGAGGGAGGGGGCACGCAGAAGGGGGGGCACGCAGAAAGGGGGGGCACGTAGGAGGGAAGCACGCGGGAGGGGGGGCACGTAGGAGGGAAGCACGCGGGAGGGGGGGCACGTAGGAGGGAGGCACGCGGGAGGGGGGGCACGCGGGAGGGAAGCACGCGGGAGGGGGGGCACGGGGGGGGGAGCACGCGGGAGGAGGGGACGCGGGAGGAGCACGCGGGAGGGGAGGCACGCGGGAGGGGAGGCACGCGGGAGGGGAGGCACGCGGGAGGGGAGGCACGCGGGAGGGGAGGCACGCGGGAGGGGAGGAACGCGGGAGGGAGGAGCACGCGGGAGGGGAGGCACGCGGGAGGGGAGACACGCGGGAGGGGAGACACGCGGGAGGGAAGACACGCGGGGTGGGGGGAGGAACGCGGGAGGGGAGGAACGCGGGAGGGGAGGCACGCGGGAGGGGAGGCACGCGGGAGGGGAGGAACGCGGGAGGGGAGGACACGCGGGAGGGGAGGACCGCGGGAGGGGAGGCACGCGGGAGGGGAGGAATGCGGGAGGGGAGGCACGCGGGAGGGGAGACACGCGGGACTACGCGGGAGGGGAGACACGCGGGAGGGGAGGAATGCGGGAGGGGAGGCACGCGGGAGGGGAGACACGCGGGAGGGGAGACACGCGGGAGGGGGGCACGGAGCACCAATCACAGACTGTTTTGAAACAGAAGCACCGGCACTGATTACTGGCACCAAGGACATGATTTTTGAAGTTCTATTCCTGATTCCTGGCCGGGGTTGTATTTATGCAGCACTTGTATTGTATTCAGTGTCGGAGATATCGATGTCTGACACCTAAAGTGCACCTGTCATGTCACTATATACAGCAACATTTCTTAGAAAAGCTATTGTTGAGTCCTAGTCAGTGACTGTGCCTAGCTGAGATGATGTCATCAGTCTGCTGCAGGTAGCAGAAAGCATTTCCTCAGTCTCTCCTCCCCCAGTGATCAGACTGTACATTGTAACTTTGTAGAAGGAGGAGTCGCTTCCTCAGTCTCCCTCCCCCCAGTGATCAGACTGTACATTGTAACTTTGTAGAAGGAGGAGGGGGCGTTTCCTCAGTCTCCCCTCCCCCCAGTGATCAGACTGTACATTGTAACTTTGTAGAAGGAGGAGGGGGCGTTTCCTCAGTCTCCCCTCCTCCCCCCAGTGATCAGACTGTACAGTGTAACTTTGTAGAAGGAGGAGGAGTTATTTCCTCAGTCTCCCCTCCCCCCAGTGATCAGACTGTACAGTGTAACTTTGTAGAAGGAGGAGGAGTCATTTCCTCAGTCTCCCCTCCCCCAGTGATCAGACTGTACATTGTAACGTTGTAGAAGGAGGAATGTTGGGATGGGGGGGCCATAATGCTGCGACTTACCCCGGTGGGCTTGTGTTTTGTGCCACACATAGGTGTCCCGGGAGCCCCTCTCGTAGCGGTAGGTGGGGGGATAGGAAATTTCTTCCTCACCTAAACAAAGAAAAGAGAAATATAATCCGTGATCTTCCCGTGTGGGAGGTGTACAATCCGTGATCTTCCCGTGTGGGAGGTGTAAAAATCCGTGATCTTCCCGTGTGGGAGGTGTACAATCCGTGATCTTCCCGTGTGGGAGGTGTAAAATCCGTGATCTTCCCGTGTGGGAGGTGTACAATCCGTGATCTTCCCGTGTGGGAGGTGTACAATCCGTGATCTTCCCGTTTGGGAGGTGTACAATCCGTGATCTTCCCGTGTGGGAGGTGTACAATCCGTGATCTTCCCGTGTGGGAGGTGTTCCGAGTCGAACAATCTGTGATATTCAGGGATCCCAATACAGTAACAGGGAAGGTGCCTTCAACCAGCGGGGTAAACCAGCCCACCACGCCGCTGGGGTATGGGCGTGGCTTAGGAGCGCAAGGTGACACCAATACATCTGCCAGGATTCTGGATTCTCATTGGTGGTTTCCTGACCTCTTTGGCTTTGTAACATACTAGCTGCAGCAGGGGGCTGATGTGTGTCGGACATTTGTGTACACAGCCAGGCTCGGGCTGCAGCAGGGGGCTGATGTGTGTCAGATCTTTGTGTACACAGCCAGGCTGGGGCTGCAGCAGGGGGCTGATGTGTGTCAGACATTTGTGTACACAGCCAGGCTGGGGCTGCAGCAGGGGGCTGATGTGTGTCAGACATTTGTGTACACAGCCAGGCTGGGGCTGCAGCAGGGGGCTGATGTGTGTCAGATCTTTGTGTACACAGCCACTCTCACTGGGGCACGGCAAAATCTCGCTGCCACAGACGCTTTCGCATTTTTTTTTTTACCTCAAAGTTACAAAATTGTTTTAGGCCTGAAGATTAGTTAAATCCCCCAAACAGGATATATATTTATATATTTTCAGAAAGCAGACACCCTGGAGAATAAAATGGTGTAGTTCCCCTCCTCCATTCATAGACTCCATATTATAGTGTCCAATAATGAGAAGTGCCCCATGAATGGAGGACAGGCTGATGAAAGAGAGGTCCCCCTCCTCCATTCATAGACTTCCAATAATAAGAAGTGCCTCCTGAATGGAGAAAGGGCAGATAAATGAGAGGTCTCCCTCCTCCATTCATGGAGTCCATACTATAGCTTCCAATAATAAAAGCGCTCCATGAATGAAGATGGGCTGATGAGTGAGAGGTCCCCCCTCCTCCAGTCATAGACTCCATACTATAGCTTCCAACAATGAAAGGCGTTCCATGAATGGAGGACGGGCTGATGAACGAGAGGTCTCCCCTCCTCCATTCATGGACTCCATACTATAGCGTCCTATTAAAAGTGATCCATGAATGGAGGACGGGCTGATGAATGAGAGGTCCCCCCTCCTCCATTCACAGACTTCCAATAATGAAAAAGCGCTCCATGAATGGTGGGATGGACAGATGAATGAGGTCCCCCCTCCTCCATTCATAGACTCCACACTATAGCTTCCAACAATGGGAAGCGCCTTATGAATGGAGGACGGGCTGATGAACCAAAGAACCCCCTTCCTCCATTCATAGACTTCGAATAATGAAAAGTGCTCCATGAATGGAGGATGGGGCCGATGAATGAGAGGTCCCCCCTCCTCCATTCATGGACTCCATACTATAGCTTCCAATAATAAAAGCGCTCCATGAATGGAGGAATGGCAGATGAACGAAAGGTCCCCCCTCCTCCATTCATAGACTTCGAATAATGAAAAGTGCTCCATGAATGGAGGAAGGGCCGATGAATGAGAGTTCCCCACTTCTCCACTCATAGACTTCCAAATATAGGAAGCACCTCCTGAATGGAGGAAGGGCAGATAAACGAGAGGTCCCCCCTCCTCCATTCATGGACTCCATACTATAGCTTCCAATAATAAAAGCGCTCCATCAATGGAGGACAGGCTGATGGAGGAAAGGTCCCCCCTCCTCCATTTATGAGGCCCTTTTCATTGCTGCAACCTATAGTACAGAGTCTATGAATGGAGGGGGGGATGGCGGACATATTTGGCATTCCTGACACTGCTATGGGGGGGCGGGGTTTGGGGAGGGGCATCTCCATGCTGTGGATCTTGAAGATCGGACACTTACTGAATCGCAGGAATATCTTGTTCTTCTCCTTCTCCAGGTTCAGCTGGTCGACCTTCAGCAACGGATCGAACTCCTTGCGGCTGATGAAGTTCAGGATCTCCTGGGGGCCCCAAAAACACACAGAGTTAGCCCAGGAGGGGGCCCCTCCTCTCTTTTATTCATCGTTTTCTCCGGAGTTCCCTACACCTGGTCACTAAGGTTTTCCTCCAATCTCGCCACACCCAAGATGGCCGCCTCACCTGTACGTCCATGTCCAGGCGGTAGTTCAGGTCACCGAACCAGAAGAGGTGGGTGAAGCGCGCAGAGAGATGTCGAAGGAGTTCAGCTGCTTGTCCCCGAGCGACAGGAGCCGCAGGATGTCCAGGTAGTTCTGGTTACGCCTGCGATGAGGAGGTAAAAATCAAGTTTAATCTGCTTATGTTTTGCCTTTTCTGGTCCCCCCCCCTTATTTCTGGCCCACTGACATCCTCACGGGGTCTCTGCGCTTCTCTATGCAATGCAAGCAGATCATGGTTGGTGGGTGGGGCTGACAGAGTGTTAATGGCCTTTCCAGTTTCCATTACATACCTTATTTTTGACCCAATGACATCATCACTGGGTCTCTGTGCTTCTCTATGCAATGTAAGCAGATCATGGTTGGTGGGAGGGTCCAATAGTGTGCCAATGACCTTTTCCGATTTTGGTGGGAGGGGACGGCAGTGGCTAATGACCTTTTCTCTTTTCATTACATACCTTATTTTTGACCCGATGACATCATCGTCTTTGTCCTTCTCTATGCAGGTAGGTCATGGCTGGTGGGAGGAGCCAGCTGGGGGCTGTACATGGCTTCCTGAAAACATCACAGCACCCCGCCTCAGTACTCCTCTTAAAAGCCCTCGGCCCTGATGCAAGCAATGGGAGGAGTTATGCAAATATCAAAATGCCCCTGATGGGTGGGTGTCAGTCTGGAGGAGGAGAGGGCGGTCCTAGGCAGACTGTGTTTACATAAGTAACGCCCACACATGAATGCTGAGCCTCCACGATTGAAAGAACTGAACTGCAATGAATGAAAGGGGCAGGGCCAGGGACAGTCAGGTTGGGGAGGAAAGAACTAGATGATGCTGGGAGTCCTCCAGTTAGGAAAAAGGGCGGGGCTCTGATTGCTGCAGCTTCTTGTGAGAAGTTCATAGTGTGCAGTGACATCAGGGTAACCAGGGGAGGAGCCGGTACACCTGTGCATGACTGAAGGGGAGGAGTGGGCACACCTGTGCAAGACTGAAGGGGAGGAGCCAGAAAACCTGTGCAAGACTGAAGGGGAGGAGCCATAACACCTGTGCAAGACTGAAGGGGAGGAGCCAGAACACCTGTGCAAGACCGAAGGGGAGGAGCCGGTACACCTGTGCAAGACCGAAGGGGAATAGCCGGTACACCTGTGCAAGACCGAAGGGGAGGAGCCGCTACACCTGTGCAAGACCGAAGGGGAGGAGCCGCTACACCTGTGCAAGACCGAAGGGGAGGAGCCGCTACACCTGTGCAAGACCGAAGGGGAGGAGCCGCTACACCTGTGCAAGACCGAAGGGGAGGAGCCGCTACACCTGTGCAAGTCCGAAGGGGAGGAGCCGCTACACCTGTGCAAGACCGAAGGGGAGGAGCCGCTACACCTGTGCAAGACCGAAGGGGAGGAGCCGCTACACCTGTGCAAGACCGAAGGGGAGGAGCCGCTACACCTGTGCAAGACCGAAGGGGAGGAGCCGCTACACCTGTGCAAGACCGAAGGGGAGGAGCCGCTACACCTGTGCAAGACCGAAGGGGAGGAGCCGCTACACCTGTGCAAGACCGAAGGGGAGGAGCCGCTACACCTGTGCAAGACCGAAGGGGAGGAGCCGCTACACCTGTGCAAGACCGAAGGGGAGGAGCCGCTACACCTGTGCAAGACCGAAGGGGAGGAGCCGCTACACCTGTGCAAGACCGAAGGGGAGGAGCAGGTACACCTGTGCAAGACCGAAGGGGAGGAGCCGCTACACCTGTGCAAGACTGAAGGGGAGGAGCCGCTACACCTGTGCAAGACCGAAGGGGAGGAGCCGCTACACCTGTGCAAGACTGAAGGGGAGGAGCCGCTACACCTGTGCAAGACTGAAGGGGAGGAGCCGCTACACCTGTGCAAGACTGAAGGGGAGGAGCTAGTACACCTGTGCAAGACTGAAGGGGAGGAGCTGGTACACCTGTGCAAGGCGGAAGGGGAGGAGCTGGTACACCTGTGCAAGACCGAAGGGGAGGAGCCGCTACACCTGTGCAAGACTGAAGGGGAGGAGCCGCTACACCTGTGCAAGACTGAAGGGGAGGAGCAGGTATATCTGTGCAAGACTGAAGGGGAGGAGCCAGAAAACCTGTGCAAGACTGAAGGGGAGGAGCCGGTACACCTGTGCAAGACTGAAGGGGAGGAGCTGGTACACCTGTGCAAGACTAAAGGGGAGGAGCCGGTACACCTTTGCAAGACTGAAGGGGAGGAGCCGGTACACCTGTGCAAAACTGAAGGGGAGGAGCCGGTACATCTGTGCAAGATTGAAGGGGAGGAGCCAGTACGCCTGTGGAAGACTGAAGGGGAAGGGCCAGAAGGAGGATTTAAAGGTGCCTTCCCACTCACCTGGTGGTCTTCTCATTGCCGGAGGTCAGGTGACAGTTCACAAAGCCGAAGGAGGTGCCATTAAACATGAAAGAGATTCCCACCGCGCCTTTATTACCTGGGGAAGGAGACAGCGAGGTTAATATGGGGGGGAGGGGCGGGGGTCACCATTCCTGATCTCCTACTGAAAATGCTGATCCTCCGGCTTCCATGCCTTCTGATATGATAACCCAGAAAAAGCATGCAGCCAGTGAAGGCAGAACTCATGAACTGCATACCGGGTCAGCGAACTAAGCAGCATGGAGGCCACAAGGCCAGCGTGAGAATAGCCCCCACCCTCCCCCAAAAATCAAGAATAAAACGAACAGAACAAAAAAATTAAAACATCTCGGAGACTTTAAAAACACAAAAAACCGACAGCAAACCGAACGTGACACAAAACGAATACAAACAGGCTACATCCTGAGTGGTCTGAATGTAAAAATCGCTGATTTCAAACGGAAGATACCACATTCGCCCACTAGATGGGGCTAAGTAAGGAATTTCCAATAATACTTAGCGCCACCTAGTGACCAAATGCAGTATTTACCATTTTAACTCGACTTGACCCAGCACGGGATAGAACCCATTTGTGACGGGAGTGACTTTGGGTGGGGGGGGGGCCCCCTTTGGAGAGGTGGGGAGACCCCTGTCTCAGCTCCCCTTATCCCCATTATGTGTGAGTCACCCTGTGCCTGTTAGGGGGTGCAGGGTGATCTGTCCTAGTATTGTGTGGACATGTATAGGTGGGGTGGGGGGTTGTTCATTCATTGTTTACTGCCATGTGGTGTATCCCATTGTTCTATTGTGTGTCTTGGTTTGGTGGGGGGTGTTTTCCGGCAGCCCTTCCCCCCTGATGGGACAGCCTGCTGATGTGTTTCCTGTTACTGAATGTATTGCCCCCGCCCTGTGTATATATCTTGTATCTATGTTACAATAAAGCAGTCCATTTCCTGTATTAATACAAGTCTGGCGCTGTCTCGTCCTGTATGGTCAGCGGTGGTGCCCGGGGATCTGTGTTCGGACAGGAAAGCGGGGAAACGGAAATACCCTGGTGCAGTCGGGGTCCGGTTCCGTTACGTTGCAGCGCGCGCGGCTGGCGGTGTCATTAACTATGGCACCATACTGCCAATGGACGCGGGTTGCAATGTACAGCAGTGGGCGTGCCCTGGACCGCCTGTATTTTCGCATCGATAACACCCACAGGTGATGCGGAGCCTCCGTGATTGGAAGAACTGAAATCGAATGAATGCAAGGGGGCGGGGCCAGGGACGGTCAGGCTGGGGAGGAAAGGGCTATAGGACGTTGGATGTCCTCCAGCCAGGAAATGAGGTAGGCTCATTCTGAGCTTCTGCGACTACATGTGATAGCAAGTGGTACCCAGGGGCGGACTGACCATTTGGAAACTCGGGCACTGCCCGAGGGCCCAGGGTCAGTAGGGGGCCCCATGAGATGCCCCTTGTACCTTTTTCATAGGCTTTTTTGAGTTTGGGCAAGGACACAGGGGCCCCATGATCCCCTATTGCCCGGGGGCCCCATAAGCTGTCAGTCCGCCTCTGGTAGTACCATTCATGTTGATTGGCACACGTGTTGCAGTGCACCACAACGCCCTACCGGGTTGCAAAAATTGATGCGTGTCTGGTTTTTTTTTTTTTTTTTTCGTGCGTTGCCAGCCCATCAATTAAATGGGTTGCCTCAATGCTAACACCCCAGGACACCAAGGTCCGAATTGGCCCTCAGGAGCCATTTATAGCCCATTTTGGCCCTAAAAAACACCAAAAAAACCCTTTAACTTACCTTTTGACTCCAACGCATTTATAAAAGATAGCAAAAAACACCTTTAGCACACCTACTGACTTCACAGAATTTCTAAAAATAGAAAAAATTGAGATGTAGGGGTTCCTCTGGGGAGGGGCATGGAGCCAGCAATGCCCCAGAGCATCACTCAGCCCTGAAGACTGAGGACATCTAGCGGTGAAAAAGAGGTACTGCTCTGAACTGAAGGCGTCTCTTTTGTTTTTCATCCTCCATGGAGGAATTAAATGAAAAATTCGGCAGAGAATTCATCGAAGCTCCGGATTTCGGCTCTCACTCACCCAGGGTATTGGCGATTCCGGTCTTGACGCTGGACGTGCTGATGTGCGTAATTCGGTTTTCGTGTTCCGCCCGGACCAGGACGACGATTTTAATATTCCACAGAGACTGCATGGCTACCTGCAGGGAAAAGTAAAACGGACAAATTTTGGATTTACAAAAATGGAAAACGCCGATCGCTGGGAGGTTGGCGTCGTATCGCTCCCATAGCTGCCCCATGAGTTGTCAGTCCGCCCCTGGTCAGGCGCATTGCTTTGGCCAATCGCAGTGCCTGAGTTTCCAAATGGTGACCCCGCCCCCTTGTGAAATCATCACGCTATGCAAAGCTGATCACAGGTCAGGTGCATTGCTTTGGCAGATTGCAGTGCATGACGACGTCACATGGGGTGTGACCCCGCCCCCTTGTGACGTCATCACGCTATGCGAAGCTGATCACAGGTCAGGCGCATTGCTTTGGCCAATCGCAGTGCATGATGACGGCACAAGGGGGTGACCCTGCCCCCTTGTGATGTCATCACGCTATGTGAAGCTGATCACAGGTCAGGCGCATTGCTTTGGCCGATCGCAGTGCATGACGATGTCACAAGGGGGTGACCACGCCCCCTTGTGACATCATCACCCTATGCAAACCTGATCACAGGTCAGGCGCATTGCTTTGGCCAATCGCAGTGCATGACGACGTCACAAGGGGGTGATCCCCACCCCCTTGTGACGTCATCACGCTATGTGAAGCTGATCACAGGTCAGGCGCATTGCTTTAGGCAATCGCAGTGCGTGAGACGTCAAAAGGGGGTGATCCCCCGTCACTCGTTTCCCCCCCACCGTTTCTTGACATGCCGGGCTGCATTCTTGGGTATGGATTTTGGGGGGGGGGGGGGGGGGTTCCCCTCAAAATCCATAGCAGACCTGAAGGGCTTGGTATGGATAGGGGGGGACCCCACACCGTTTTTTAAAAAATGTTTTAATTGCCAGCAATTCTTTTGACATTCAGTTGCCCCAAAGCACCCCCCCATGTTGAGGGCATGTGGCCTGGTATGGTTCAGGAGGGGGGTGCTCGCTCGCCCCCTTCTTTTCCTGAGCTGCATGCATGTATGGATTTTGGGGGGGACACCCCCACGCCATTTTAAAAAAATGTTAGCATGGGGGTTCCCCTAAAAATCCATACCAGACCCGAGGGACTTGGTATGGATGGGGGGAACCCCCATGCCATATTTTTCTAAAAAAAAATGTAAATTTCCGGGCAATGCGGACAGTTCTTTCTATGAGGGAACCCCGCTGACAACTGACACATGAATGAATGTTTCACTACTACGTCATAGAACTCATGATATATTGTAGTAGCTGAGCGGGATCGCACCACATACTCACATGCCGCAAGACACCACTTAGTGAACAGTCCCTATTCGAAGTTCGAGGTCGCACATTCAGTAAGTCAAATGTTGTATTTAATTTATTTATTTCAGATATTTATAGAATGCCGACAATTTATTCTGTGCATGTCAGTCCCCGACCCCAGGGAGCGTACAATCTAAGGTTCCTACCACACATGCACACACATGCTGGGGCCAATTTACACCGGAGCCAACCAGCATGTCTTTGAAGTATGGGGAGAAAACACATGTGAGCACAGGGAGGACATGCAAACTTCATGCAGACAATGTCTTGAGAATAGTAAACCCCACACCCCGCATTCACTATATCCGCAGTCCCCGGACCCCGCATTCACTATATCCGCAGTCCCCGGACCCCGCATTCACTATATCCGCAGTCCCCGGACCCCGCATTCACTATATCCCCGGACCCTGCATTCACTATATCCGCAGTCCCGGACCCCGCATTCACTATATCCGCAGTCCCCGGACCCCGCATTCACTATATCCGCAGTCCCCGGACCCCGCATTCACTATATCCGCAGTCCCCGGACCCCGCATTCACTATATCCGCAGTCCCCGGACCCCGCATTCACTATATCCGCTCCCCGGACCCCGCATTCACTATATCCGCTCTCCCCGGACCCCGCATTCACTATATCCGCTCTCCCCGGACCCCGCATTCACTATATCCGCTCCCCGGACCCCGCATTCACTATATCCGCTCTCCCCGGACCCCGCATTCACTATATCCGCACTCCCCGGACCCCGCATTCACTATATCCGCTCTCCCCGGACCCCGCATTCACTATATCCGCTCTCCCGGACCCCGCATTCACTATATCCGCTCTCCCCGGACCCGCATTCACTATATCCGCTCTCCCCGGACCCCGCATTCACTATATCCGCTCTCCCCGGACCCCGCATTCACTATATCCGCTCTCCCCGGACCCCCGCATTCACTATATCCGCTCTCCCCGGACCCCGCATTCACTATATCCGCTCTCCCCGGACCCCGCATTCACTATATCCGCTCTCCCCGGACCCGCATTCACTATATCCGCTCTCCCCGGACCCCGCATTCACTATATCCGCTCTCCCCGGACCCCGCATTCACTATATCCGCTCTCCCCGGACCCGCATTCACTATATCCGCTCTCCCCGGACCCCGCATTCACTATATCCGCTCTCCCCGGACCCCGCATTCACTATATCCGCTCTCCCCGGACCCGCATTCACTATATCCGCTCTCCCCGGACCCCGCATTCACTATATCCGCTCTCCCCGGACCCCGCATTCACTATATCCGCTCTCCCCGGACCCCGCATTCACTATATCCGCTCTCCCCGGACCCCGCATTCACTATATCCGCTCTCTCTCCCCGGACCCTGCATTCACTATATCCGCTCTCCCCGGGGACCCCGCATTCACTATATCCGCTCTCCCCGGACCCCGCATTCACTATATCCGCTCTCCCCACCCCGCATTCACTATATCCGCTCTCCCCGGTACCCAGCATTCACTATATCCGCTCTCCCCGGACCCGCATTCACTATATCGCTCTCCCCGGACCCCGCATTCAAATCC